TGTAGGATAGGAAGATAGTCAACTATTTCTAAGACACAACAGCTAATGCAAAAATAAACTCCCAGTCCTATCTGATAATTTCTATAATTTCTGAGGAAGAAGGTATTTGGAGTTTAAGGGAAGGAGAGATATGATAATGAAGTAGGTATTGTCCAATAAAGCCAGCCCATTCCCGGTGAAGAGCAGAAATATACCTAGGGTGGAAATAACGGGGATTGGCACCAGGTTATGAAGGGGCAGCTGACACTACAGGGAAGGGCTGGGGTATTTCTTTCTCTCAGTTCAGTTCCCTTGAATCATAATGTTTCACAAACTCTGAGCCACAGTCTCCATAACTGTAGATCTCATCTACCATGTTCCCGCAACCCCTGCTATACCCACCTTTCCCTCTATCCCATTCCTGATCTTGGTGATTGAAGGTATGTCTGCTCAATACAAAGGTTAATAGACATGCTCTCTGGAAGACAAGTCATTCCCTCCCACAGAATGAGTGGACTCAACTGGAGCAGACTTTAGGCTCTATTGGAAATGTAGAGGAAGCCAGTGGCTCACAGAAAGAACACTCATACATGCTAGCTGAGGTGGGAACCCGAGACATACCGTCCTCTAGGATGAGCTACCCTCTAGTCAAGCCCACCTCAATAGACAATTAGTGATGTCCCAGGGTCTCTGACTATAGTAATAATCCTCTCCCTGTGAGTTCTCTCTCCTAATGAGACCTTTTGTCCCAAGACCTAAGGTCTCTCCTGGAGGTACTCATTCACCTCATGCTCGGGTGAATTTACCCCAAATGTTGTAATGGCTTGTTATGATTCAGTAAGTCAGGAAGGACAGAATGCTAACCTCAGAATTAAAAAGACCTGGATTCAAAACCTGCCTCTGAAACTTACTGGCAGCATGACCTTAGGCAACTCTTAAACTCTATGGACCTCAGTTTCCTCATCTGTAAAATGAAAGGGATAGACTAGACAAAGAATAAGGTCTTTTCAGTCCTAAATCTACAATCCTAGAATCCCTCTGATTTTGTTGAACTGAACCATTTTGTTCAAGGAAATAATTCATGGAACTGTGCTACCTTTTGCCCCACTATGAGGAAGGAGGAGGAGAGAAGGCTTTTTGTTAATGAATATCAAGCTGGGGAAAAAAAAGATCTGGTATTCTAACAAGAAATACTTATCTCCTATATCCATTCACAGTTTCGCTACTAAGCAATTAATTTGTGAAAGCCAGCTGGAAACCAGCATGGATTAATAGAAGTTAAGAGAAAGAGGGAGATGACAGTCCTGAGGAATCCAGATCCTTCCCATCTACTTTATCAAGTGTTACACATTTTTATATAGGTTTTATCTAGTTTGGTTAAAAACACATAAATACTTATGTTTCTTTGTATTAAGAATTCAAAGCACATTAAATGTTTAAAAGGAAATGTTACCAGGTAACATTTGTTATCTGCACCAGCCAAAGGACAAGAATGCTAAGGAGATGAAGTGACATTACTCTCCCTTTCCTAGCTGAACAGTGAGAGCACCTGAAGGTGAAGTGCTATAATCGGTAGAGATTTGGGAGGATAAAGAAAATGAAAGGTGACTGCTTAGATGTCCTAGAGTACCAATCTGTCAGGGAGGAAAGAATGACTAATTTTTCTACAACCACAAAAAAACAGATATTGTATACAAGAAAGGGAGGGAGAGGGGGGAGCTTTGAGAAAGAGAAGAGAACAGGAATGTGTAGAATCGTGCTCTTAGCCTTCTGCATACACATTCAATATTTTATTAACTTTTCATTAGTTTTAAGACTCCTGCCAGGATTCCTTTGGCTGAAAACAAGTATCAATCTGTGGAGCAGGAGAGAAAAAAAGTTGAGTTGGTAGGAACAGTGAACATAGAATTTCTAAATAACTTTTTGATATTATCACAGAACAAAGTTTATTCTGCAAAATATTCTAGAATTGGGTTATATGATCCCAAAGATCCCAGAAATCATAATCAGAAAAAAACTTTTATATTATTAAAATTAACCACCAACTGATGGCTTCAAAGGTGTGGAAATCAAGCATTACTTTTTTTCCCCCTATTGTAAGACCCCCATCTGAAATCTTAAGGTTAGAGAAAACACAATGGATTTCTCTTGATATTATTTACCCATTTAAATTGATAATCATTTCCTAGTTATCTCCATGCCATATCCCCACCTCTCAAACCATCATCTCCACTTCCTCCCCAATGGAAAATTGGACTCTATCCCTGGAACTGCTCTTGGACCAGTTTTTTGGCCTCATCTTTCAAAATCCAGGTGTCCATAGTATTTTCAGGCTGTCTGTACACCATGATAGCTCTACTCAGGCCATCGCCCCTTTCTCCTACAGTTTTCTTGTATTTGTTGTCTTCTCCCATTAGAATGTAAGCTCCCGGAGAACAGAGATTGTCTTGTTTAGTTGTGTTCATATCCCTAGAGTTTAGTATAGTTATGCTATGACTATCACCTTTTTCTTTCTGTCTATCTATTTATCTATCTATCATCATTACCATAGATTTAGAGCTATATGAACGCTTAGAAATCATCTAGGATCTCCCCATTCTTTTTTAATATTGAAAAAAACCAAAGCCTAGAGAAGTAGATTTTGACTTTCTGTAGATTATGACTTTCTTAAGGTCACTTAGGTACTAAGTGGTGGAGCTAGGATCTTGCTAAAGACCTCTGCCTTCAAATCTAACATTCTTTTCACTTTTCTAAGCTGTCTCCATATATATCAAGTGGAAGTGAAGATGGAAACCAAATAATTAAAAATATGCAGAGGTGGAGATGTAACCTGGTCAAGAGCAGTGGTGTCAAATTCAAATAGAAACTATACATAAGGATCCCTGCAAGTAAATGTTGATTTAGAAAACCACATATTAACATTATCTATGTTCTACTGTATTTTTATTTATTTTGAAAAATAATATTTCCCAATTACATTTAATCTGGTTCAAGTCACAGTTGGTAATGTGGCAGGCAATGTGCATGATGCCTCTGCTCTAGACAGAGTCAGGAGATATGAGTTCGATTCCTGACTCTATTATTACAAACTAAAGGTATAAATGTGGGAAACTCACTTAATAACTCTTTTTAACAAGTCCTGAACTAGTAGCAACATACCTGTTCTCCTCTACTTTATTCTCAAAGGGTTACATTATGGAAGAAAGAATGAGATCATAGATTTTCAGACTTGGCATGAACTTCAAAGATCATCTATTTCAACTCTGAAAGAGGCGGAGTTTGCCAAATGTTTCTTAAGATGTGGTAACCAGAAAGGAACACAATATTCCACTGTGGTGTGACCCAAGCAGAGTACAGCAGGCCTATTACTTGCCTTAGTCTGGATGCTATTTCTGTTGAGGCAGCTTAGTGTTTTTTTTTTCTAGTTTTTTTTTTTGGTTGTTTCGTTTTGTGTAGTTAATCACAATGTTATGTCAATCTCTAGCCTAGGACTTTTCCACATGAAGTACTATCAAGCCGAAATGTCCTCATCCCTTATCAGTTTCAATCTGAGATGCAATGTATTTTTTATCCCTGTTAAATTCCATTTTCTTGAGTCTTGATTCTAACACCTACCAGATCAAATAGCCTTTCTAGTTTTTATTAGAAGCAAATGTTACTACTGTGTCTCCTTTGTGGGAAAAAAAAAATCAAACAGACATGGCAATAACAGAGCCCAGTGACCTTCTACTAAAGACCCCTTTCTGACTCACATCCAACTAGAAAATCAACACTCTTTCATTAAGGTTGTTCAAAAAGCTCCAAAGTACCTGCTTTATTACCCAACCTCCATATTTCCTTTTTGGGTGCAAGGATATCAAAAGAGATAAGTACTATGAGAAGAAAAAGCTGAAACATCATCACCTAGTATTGTCCTAATTGGCAATGAACACTCATTTCTTCAATCGTGGATTATTTACAGTTTCTGAATTAACCATTGATCATGGCACCATGATGGAATATGCAGTCCATGGTCAAGGTTTTTTCTATCCTGAATTTGACCTGTCTTGATTACACATTCAGGCAATGCTGTTTAGTGCTCCAAGTGCTAAACTCAATTTACGAAGACATGGATTCAAATCCTGAAACTTACTATCTGGGTGACACTGAGTATCTTTAAGTCTCAGTTTCTTTATCTGGAAAATGGGGGTGGTAATATATAGATTAACTCTCTTATAAGATGGTTATGACCATCATATGAAAAAATATATAATACATTTTGCAAACCTTAAGGTTACAGAAATGTCTGACATTATTGTCATACAAAGAAAGTGTCAGAAGTCAGTAAGTTACCTATGATGGCTTAGAATACCTGAAATCTAAAGTTGTCTTTTTGCCTTAATGATCTGATCACAAGATAATTGTCAAAAGGATAGTTCCTTACCATATAGAGCTGGAAAGTCCCTCAGAAACCATCCAGTACAATTCATACACAAGTATGCTGAACACTCTACAAAATATCTTATTTTCTACCTCATTTTTTCTTTGAAGACATAATCTTGGGGGAGCACCTTCCAATTTTATATCTTCCTTATTTTTATCAATCCATGAATTTTTCCCAATGTATGCTCTTTGAGGGAAGTGATTGTAAAATCTTGACCTTTCTCTACACAGCACCTAGCCTAGTACCTAGAATATAGTGGGTCCTTAATGAATACTTATTGATGGACTGATTCAAGAATTGTGGAAAGAAGTATGAAAAGTGTTTTTCTCCCACCATCAGAACCAGTTTAAACTAGAAGGAGTTAATCATGCCACGCAATAGTATTAAATGCTCATGATGTGTCTTCACTTTCAAAACATGTCAACAAGAAGGTTGATTGGAGAGCCCAGCATTGCAAGTATTTCTCCTCCCTCCAGACTCTGAGCCTGTAACAGGCATTTCCACCACTTACATCTTGCCAGAGAGTTCAATTTAGATGAAAGCTGGTGTTTTCTAATTCCATTTCACTGTAAATGACAGAGACAAATGGTCACAATACCTCGAGAGTTCCTCTGGCAGAGTAGGCAGCATATGAGTACAGCAGTCCTTGGCTGGGATCCTTTCTGGGCTCTTGGTCACATGGCTGGCCATTAGGATAAAAGCATTGGCTGCTGTCCTTCAGAGTCACCGTGTTTGGAGAAGACCCCGGCAAGCTAAGCAGGACAGAGTAATTGAAAAGCTGTACTTCTTCTAGACCATGAGAAGTCCACTGAACCTTGAGCTTCTCTGCAAATTCTGTGTCATCTTCGCTTTTAGACAATTGTATCAAATGCCTAAGAAAGACAGAAAGAGAGAGAGAGAGAGAGAGAGAGAGAGAGAGAAGCAATTAGTTTTCTTCATCTAAAAAAATTTTGATAGTAGTTTTGACTCTTTAAGTTTTATCAAAATTGTCCATCAGGTTACAACTTAGCAGACTAATACTTAGAGTTTTGGTTGTTTTTTAAAGTGATCAGAACACTATCATATGAAACTGCATGGTAAATAACTTTTTGATCATAAAAATATGTAAGAAAATATGCAAAAAGACAATATGTGTTCATATCTAGGCTTTGCTACTGAATATGTGAGCTGTGCACTTAATCTTTGGACCTCAGTTTCCTCATTTGTTAAATGAGGGTTGGACTAGACTTCTCAGGTCTGTCTTCCAGTCTATGGTACTATGACCCTAATAGCTGATGTTCATATAATGCTTCAAGTTTTACAATGTGCTTAGTATTGTACATTTAGAACTGGAAGGGGCCTTGTAGATCCTCTGGTCTATCACTTTCACCTTTGCACATGAGGAAAATGAAACTAGAAGAGTTAAGTGACTCACTCAATGCCACAAAGAGAGTTAAATGGTGGGACCAGGATCGAACCCGGGGCCCCTGGTATTTCTTTTTACCATTTTCCATTCATCATCCCATTTGATAAAACCAAACACTACCCACTGTAGGAGCATGAACATGGTCACCTTTAATATACAAGAACAAATAATGGCACCATGATTGATTCTATTCAATGACTCTAAACTAGGATGGTTATTTCATGTATCTTCTCTAACTGTTGCATCTGTCTATGTTATTTTTCCTGGGTTGATATCTGCAATGGTTGACTATTTAGATTTTAAAACCCTACTGAATTCATGAAATGTTTTCTAAATTATCTCTAAAACATTACTAGACATGCATGCTTATTAAATATCATCTTATCATAATACAGGGCCTGAGCTCAAATAAAATGGTGCAGGATGGCATTCTGCCAGGGGTTTTTATGGTGAAAAGTCATTCTCTTAATTTGTTATTGCTATTGGCATCAAAGCACTTACCCTCCACCATCCTGCTCTTCCCCACTGTGAAGCCCAGTTGTGTGTGTTAAAGCACACTACTTATTCAAACAACTAATAACAGTACTTGCATTGGGGAAAAGGAAGGACCAGGTTGTTTACTGTAGATGAAGCAAGTGATCTATAAAGCCATAAGCATTTATTAGTTGCCTATGATATCTATGATCTATTATATATAATACATAATATATATAATATAAGCTGGAGCTATTGAGAGAGTAGATTCATGGCATTTAGGTTACACAGATATTGGTGTATTCTGTAGGATTCCCTCAAGAACCATGGCCAGGTACTGTCACAGTTTTGATGTCTATAGAACTTAGTCTTTGTCATCCCATTCAACCAGAAAACTATGTCCTAGATATCTCTGTTTGTACCATCATGGCCACTCCATCTCAGAAGAAAAACTGAAAGGGAATTTGCTTTTGAAATTTAATATTTCATATTCTGTACAAAATTATCCTACCTATAGTCTTTTCTATCCATTTTTCTTACTTAATAGATTTAAAAACCATACCATGAGCACCCACTGCATGTGAGTCACTATGTACTCTAGAGAAACAGGTAAATGGCATCATAGAGTGTAAGACCTAGAATTAGGAAGCCCTGAATCCAAATCTTATCTTTGACACTAACTTGCTGTGTGATGCTGGGCAAGTAACTTATCATCCATCAGCCTCAATTCCTTAATCTATAGAGGAGATAGAGATTTTATTTAGGGAGCTTTCAGTGAGGAATTTCTTTTACTGTATAGGTTAGCACCTTCTTTGTAAGACTACTAGTGACTTATCCAAGGACACAGCCAGCATATGTCTGAGGTAGCACTTGAACCTAGGTCTTCTTGGTTCTGAGACAAGTACTTTATCCCCAACGTTATCATTTCTCTACATCTCATCTGTAAAGTGAGGATAATAACAGCAAGTACCTTAAATGTTTGTTGTGAGGAACAAATGCTATAATCTATGAAAAACACTTTGCAGATCTTAAAGCCCTATATAAAGGCTAGATACTGGCCAAGGAGAGTCTGGTCTGGGAGTGTGCCTGCTGGCATGTAGGTGGAGGGAAGGGTTTGGGGAGGGGAGAACTTGTTTCTGGAAGTACATGATGCCAGAGAATGAAGCAGCCTGGATCTCTACTTCACAGCAGGTGCAGGTAGACTGGGACTGTTACCTGTCTGCTTACTCAGTGATAAAGAAAATCCTTTTGATTAGCTGCTGAGACAGAACAGAGTGGGCATGAAAAAGGGCCCTAAATAGCTGGATCAATCTTTGTCTTCTCATGCATAATCAAGGTAAGAACATGGGTCTCTGGATGGAAAGAGAGGGAGAGAGGGGGAGAAGGGGAGAGAAGGGGAGACAGGGGGAGACAGGGAGAGGGAGAGAGAGAGAGAGAGAGAGAGAGACAGACAGACAGACAGACAGAGAAACAGAGAGAGAGAGCATGCATGAGGGTACTAGCAACAGGTTTCTGCTCACCCAGACTGGACTGACATGAGTACATGACAAAACTTTTTATCTATCCTTGGATTTGGTTTTGTTTCTGATGTGAATGTTGCAGGTAGAATGGACCAGAGGACAAACTTTTGAGCTTTGAAAATTCAAACAAGCCACCAGAGTTCCAGGACCTATAATACATTCCTGAGTTAGCTAGAGCCAAGCCCAATGTGGTCAATACACCAGAGTGGTCTTGAATCTATAGCACCAAAAGAACTCCACTGACCCCCAAAGGTATCCCTAGGATCCAGAAGGGGAGATTAATTCAGGCAAAATCTGGGAATCCAGTCTGCTAGTTTTGGGGGGGAGGGGGTTGGAAGAATGAACCCAGAGTGCATAGTCACTACACACGCTAAAAGATACATTTCTATGCATATATGTGTATATGTATATGTACGAAGAGTTATGATAGAAAGCGGCAAGCAACAAGATCAAAGAAGAAATTTGATCAAGTTCGTAAGATCCTAGACTGAGCTCTGAAAGAGATTTCAGAAACCATCTAGTCCAGCCTTCTCATCTTATGGATAAGGAAATTAATTCTCAGGGAAATGAAGCAACCTGTCCAAGGTCAGGTAGGCAGTAAGCATCAGAGACAGGATTTGGACTCAGTTCTTCAAACTCCAGAGGCAGAGTTCACGCCACTGTACCGTGCCATCGTACCATGCCACTGTAACATATTGTTCCCTATTGACAACCGAGGAGGGAGAAATCAATTTGAGCTAAAGTGGAAGCACTGGATCAGAGACACTTGAAATCAGAAGGGACCTCAGTGGCTGGTAGGTCAACTGATAGCCTGAATGAGAACTCCCCCCGACGATATTCTCAACAGTCGTTATCCAGTCTTTGTTCAAAGACATCTTTTTAAGAATCACAAACCTCTCTTGACACAGCATGATCAATTTTTGGATGAGTCCTATGGTTAGGAGGTTTTGCGTCATATCTAACTGCAATCAACACCAGCCCCAATTTTTACTAAGACCTGTCCTTTAGCACCAAGCAGAAAAAAGCCACATGTCTTTCCTATGAATCCATGAAGACATGACATCAGTTCTCCCCTGAGTCTTCCCTTTTCTAGGCAAAACTTTCACAGTTCTTTCACTTAATTCTTCACGGTGATGATTTGTTCATTATTCTCTTGGTCTTCCCCTCAATATTCTTCAGTTTATCCATATTATTCTTAAAATGGGCTTGTTTTCCCTCACATCTCTACCTCTCCCTTTCCCTCTCTCTGAAAGGGATCCTGTAGTGCAGAGAGGGGCTAGTTTTCTTCTGATATATTCTAAAGTCTGTGCTACCAAGACATGTCAATAGGTTAAAAACAAGGCCGATGTTAGAGAATTAGCTGCATTTTAATCTCTGCCCTCAATTTATCAAACACACAGAAATCTTCAAGTCCAGAAAGAATGTGTCACCTAAAATCACAAGCTATTTGACAGAAATTTTTACTCTGCCTTCATATTTAAAATAAGGGTTTCAATGGGCCAGTAGTTTGGCAGACAGCATAATGAACTGTCGTGCCTGATACCTGACTTGGGAAGTGACTTTGGAATCAGTGTTCCATTGGCCAATACAGACTGGAAGCAGGATGGTTTTGGCTTTGGTAGGGAAAATGCTGTTTATATCACTGTTCAACACCTGCTACTGGATGAGCCACAGAGCATCACTGATGTCAGGGTTGGAGGAAGCGATGCATGGAGTCTTCCTAGCACTGGGGTGAGAGCCAAGTGTGTACTATAAGTGACTGATGGAGGAAGACAGTGGAGGAAACAGACTACACCTACAAGGACATTTTTGCTATATGCCCACTGGAGAATATATGTGTGTGTATTTGTATGGGAATGCATATATTTATAAATGCATATAGATATGTCAAAAGAAGGAAGGAGGAAGTACCCAGGAGAGGTATCTGCTTTATCAAATCATACTTCATTACATAGATATTTGCATAAAACATTAGATGACCATCTGCTAATCCAGTCCATTTTATATGTTGTATTGAAATCAGTCTGTTCAGATGGCTGGTTGCTGGAAGTCAGAACAGTATGGAATCAAACAAAGAGGAAAAGGTAAAATGCTAAAGAGAGAAAGGAAGACCAATTTTGACAAGGAAAGCATATTGGTTATTGTGACATTTGAATATGCTGTCATTTAGACACTTCACCCCTGTTGTCTGCACAGAGGAGCAAAACACGGTGATTAAAAAAACTGTTATATGGACATCAGCATTTTTTCTGAAATTCCTTCTAACCATCCAAAGCTGAGCCTGCTGGTCCAACTAGACATCCCTCAGTTCTTAAGATTTTTCAAGGACTTTCCAAAATGATTCAGATCTGGCACCGACAATGAAGGAAGAATAAGGGAGGGCAGATACAAACAATCTAATTTCAAACAGGAGGAAGGCAAAGGAGGGAGAGGGAGGGAAAGAGCAACTACCTGTGTACAAAAATTATTCTGA